AATCCCAAACCAAAACCCTAAATCATAAACCTAAACCCTAACGCTAAATCCCTAAATCCTAAATACTTCAAATTAAAGTAAATCTTGAATGATTTTTTTTTTTTTTTTTTTTTGCAAATTCATGTGTTTCTTGTTCATAACATCATAAACGACGATTGATGCCGTTTTGATATGAATTGCATGCTTGGAATGACAATTATGAGGCGAGTGATAGTAATAACTGGGGGGGTTAGATGAACCATCTATTCTCTCCCTCGAGTTCACAGAGAATTACATCCAAAAATAATATCTATTCGGTTGGATGCATAGGTTATTTTGCCATGAATTTGAAGGGCGACTTACTGCACAACAAACTGGAATATGTCTAGGCATGGCGCTGATAGTAATAGCTGGGGGTTAGATGAACCATCTATTCTCTCTTCCATGTTTTGCTCTAACAGTTAGTACCCAAGATTCAAACCTAACCCGTTGCCCACCAAAAGAAAAAAGAAAATAACGAAAAATTCAATGCTCACTACCAATAGCTTGCCTCCAGGTAGGACCAATCTACCAAGCCTTCGCTGCTATAAATAATAGTAAAATATAGGTTTACCCAAAACCAACAAAAACAGAGAATCACTAAAGGCCAAAACAAAAAACAGAGCAAAAAAATGGCGACGGCGGCCCTCCCTAAACCGGAGCTGCAAGGAATCCAGACGAAACCCCCGATGAAAATAACAGAACCGAGGAGGAGCCGCCGCGTGTCGCCAACGGGGATGAGGAAGGGATGTTTGAATTTGGTTCTGTTCTACTCCAACAGGGCGGTTCGCGAGGATTCCGGGTGGGTGGCGGCGGGATGGATAAAGGAGTCGCTGATGCAGGCGCTCAACGATCAGCCGCTGCTCGCCGGCCGCCTGAGGAAGGAAGGTTCGGAAATAATGGAGATCGTGTCGAACGATAGCGGAGGCCGGCTGCTGGAGGCGACTGTGGCGATGGGATTGGAGGAGTTTATGGAGATGGAGGAGGAGGTTAGGGCGGCGGCGGAGGCGGACCTTGTTTTCTGGAAGGACATCGATCAGCAGAGCCCCCACTTCTCTCCCCTGCTCTACGTTCAGGTAAATGCGTTGCGTAGTTTAATCTTTCTTATTAAAAACTCCTCACCATTTGATCGATTCATTACTCTTCCTATTGTTGACAAGGAAGTCAATCAATTCAATAATTACATTTGGCCGACCTCACGGATTTGGCCCAAACTATCATATCATAATTAGCTTGGAAGTTTGGGTACAGAATTTGAGATAAACAAACAACATATTCAATTGGTTGATATTTGATATTATTAATACATGTATTATTTTTTGGGTGATTGAATTTCAAATGTTATTTAGTATTAGGAATTACAAGTTATACTCAAATACTAATGAATATGTAAATATATAAACTAGTGAGTGTTTTATCCCTCCCAAATAAACTCTTATTAATTGCTATTAGACCCTCAACCGTCAAAATTACCAATTAATTATACATAGCTCATTCTTTTACTATTTCACAACCCAGGCCAAGCTCATTTGACATATTTTTTTTTTTTTTTTGACAATTTTAAAAAGATTTAATTTGATTTTTGGATATGTCGATGTCGAACAAAATATTAGGAATCGAGACTACCATATCCAATTTATTTTGGGATTAAAATTAAATTTAGATGATATTTGAAATTTTTTAAAATTTTATAGTGGGGTACTGATACCATATCAATTGATATCATGATCAACAAATGGCTAAAGCTCAGGTGACGAATTTCAAGTGCGGCGGGTACTCCGTCGGAATCAGCTGCAGCCTACTCCTCGCCGACCTTCTAATCGCTGATAACTTCCTCCGGAAATGGGGGGAAATCCACAAGGAAATGATATCCACCTCGTCCGCCAATCTCCCAATCTTCTACCTCCCTCATATGAAGCCCAATGGGTCGTTCACGCTCAAAGCATTCAGCTCGACTCCGACAAGGGGCCAGGCCCACACATTTATCCTGAAAATAACACAACCACGTGACCAATTGGACCGCGAGGAGGCCCAATTGGCGGAGCTCTGCATGGAAGAGGCCCACCGCAGGTTCGGCTCGGAGGGGAAAATCTTGAGCTTCCGCGTGGTGGATTTGAAGGAACCGCCGACGGTTTCGGAGGTGAAGGCGTGGAGGCCGGAATCGGAGAAGAAGCCGCCGCCGGGAGGAGGAGGAATTACCATCGGGAACGCGACGTGGAAGGATTTGGGGATCGACGAGGTGTCTTTTTATGACGGGAATAAGCCCGCTGGCGTCACGTGCTGGGTGAGCTGGCAAAACGATTACGTGTTGGTGATGCCGATTCGCGATTGTGGCGGGTTCGGCGGCAACAGCGATGTGATCGTGGTGGTTGCCGTCCCCGGCGAGGAGAAGTCAGTAAACGCCATTGTTTTTTAGACCCGTAAGAAGGAAGGGAGACAGGGGGAGTGTTTGGAGACTCTCATTTCGCTACTATGTCTGTTTTGTGTAATTCTTTCCCTTTTTGTATTTTGATTCTCTGTTCCGGGGCAATATGGGTAGGAATGGTAAATTTGGGTATTGATGTGATATTTGGTATTTTGTTTATTTTGTTAGTGCTTAGTGGGATGCTTTTCTCATTTGGATTTACATGAATTTCATATTCAGATATGAATTAAGTCATTATTATACGATCTCCATCGTCAAATTGTATTAACCATGGTTGTCATGCCGGTGGCATGCCACCCGGTTGAACCTGGTTTAACCTGTGCCGGTCATGAAACCGGCATGACACCACCGGTATGATCGACTTACACATTCTAAGTAAAATGACATCATTTTAATGAATAAAAAATTAATTTATTATTCATTTTATGAATGTAATAGTTAAAAGTTGATGATATTTGTTAAATTGTAACTAAATTGTCCACAAATATGTTTTATATATGATTAGATACATTGGATATTAATTGTTTTCACATTTTTTAAACCGGCATGAACCGGCACAAATTGATTATACCACCGGTCGTACCATTCCACTTGCCAAACCGGCACAACGGTATAAACCGGTTTGACAACCTTGGTATTAACATAATTCATATAGAATCTACATCTATCTACAAAATATATAATGGAGATTCGTGTCTCCAAATTTCAGCATTTTGAAATTGCTGTCCTAAGAGGGTTTCACGGAAGGTCATTGGAGTAATTTTGCCCTAATTAAATGGAACGTTGAGTTCTGTTCCGCCAATCCGTCATGCATTTCCTATTCCCCATCAACGGGCTTTGTTCTCCACTTACTTGGGCCCACAATGGCCTATCCGTGGTGGTGGACCGGTGGTGCTGAAGGACTAGAGCTGGACTACGAATACTAAAAAATAGATAAAGGAAGACGGTTTGCCAAAAGTAAACAAGAAAATTGAAGACCATCTAGCTCAATCAGCTGGATTCAATAGCCTTGGAATTGAATCTTAAATGCGGCTTACATGAGCTTGGTTCCCCTTCCTGGCTTCCTTATTTCTTTTCGTTGATCAACGTGGCCTATTTTTATCTGGATTTTAGAAGAGCTTTTGTACTTTAAAAGTTAAGTTGGACCAAATATTTTTATAGGTTTGGTTCTTGAAAAGATGAAAAGTAATATAAAAATATATAGCATTTCTATTAGCTCTTTTGAAAATATAAGATTATCACCACAAAAAAAAAGATATTACATTAACGAAAAAAACAATATTACCATTTTTAAAATTTTTTAATTAAAAATATTGTTATTTAAAATAAAATAGATTATAAAATAAAATTAATTAATATAAAATAAATCTAACAAGATTCATTTTGATTACTTTTTATTTTTTAAATTGTAGCATATTAGGAAAAAATATTATCATTTTAAATGGACTCTTATATGAAAAATTACTTCTAATAGTTTTTAGCAAAATTCACATTTGTTTTTTTTTTATAGAAAAAAGTGATTTGCCAGAAGCTCCAGCCAGAACATGATTTTCCAAAATGTATAACAGGACCAAACTAGCCCATTGAAGAGAAAGACAGATTGCTATTTGTTTTCTCCATATAACCAATACACCCCATCATCTCTAAATATCATTTGAGTATCAGACCTTGAACCTCTCATAGCTATAAGGTCGAGCAGGTTAGTTTTAATTTATTGGATACTCATATGCTCTGACAACAAAGAAAAATTAGGCAAAGAAATTACTTTGAAGTTGACTCTTAAATGTGGCTTACCGCTTACATGACCTTGGTTTCCCCATTTATGTTATTTGGCTTAACTATGAAAATTAAATTTCTCTCCGTACCCTACATACATAAATAATAGTGCATACGCATCATGTTTGACATACACCAACATCGTTGGCAAAGGATTTGTTGAAGAATTCCTTTAAACTCAACAATGACAAAAGGGATGGCATTGTTAATGCAATGGAACTGCCCATGCCTGAATGAAAGCAAGAACTGTATTGTGTGTGGAAAGTCTAACATGGTGTGTATTAGGGGTGGCAATTCGGTTGTCGGTTAGCGGCTAACCAGCCGGTTCAACCGATAACCGCCGGTTAGCGGCTAACCGAAAACCGACGAAATTTAACCTCGGTCGGTGGTCGGCAAGAAAGGGTGGCTTCTCGGCTAGCCGAGTAACCGGTGACAATTAACCGCGGCTAACCGAGCTAACCCAATCAATGCCAAACGACACCATTGTAGCCCAATCCCCCACAAAAATCGAAACCTAATATCAAGACTGAAGACTCTGCCTCTCCTCCACCCTCCCAAAACCGTCGCTTCCCTTCGACTCTGCCTCTCCTCCACCCTCCAAAATCATTCGTTCCGTCGCCGTCTCCCGTCCCCCGACCCGGCCACTCCACCCGTCCTCTCCTTCCGACGAACCCACCACTCCACCCTTCATCTCCTCCACTCGCCCCCACAACCACGGATCTCCAGTCCGCCAATCCTCTGCTCTGCCGTTCCTCTTCCTAAACTTGTCGCACCCCCAAGCCCAAGAACAAAACCCAGAAACCAATAAACCCAGGTGGCTATGTAGGAGGGAAGAAGTCAGATCTCTTCGATCTGGTTGGAGATGCAGCCATGCAGGGACCGAAGTTGGGGATCTGGATTCTGGATCTACGGATTGGTGGGTGCGGCGGGAGGATTAGTGACTAGTGGAGCCGTCGCCGTCGCCGTCCTTCCTCCTTCTCCGAATTTTGTTTGCGGCGGCGGGATTGGTGGGTGGCTGGGTGTGATAGTGCGACGGGAGGAGAGTGGAGAGATGAGGAGATGAGGAGAGGAGAGATGACGGGAGGAGAGTGGAGAGATGAGAAGAGATGAAGAGTCTCACTGTCTGTCTCCATCTATCTCCATTTTCTTTTTTTGTTTTTAGTTTTTTTTAGGTTTTCATATAATTAAATAATAAATTAATGATTATAAATAATATTTTTTTGGATAGTCAATTAACCGCGGTTTAACCGTTAACCGGTCGGTCGGTTTGCGGCAAACCGAAGCATGATAGGCGGTCGGTGGCCGGTGACTGTAAGTGTGGTCTCGATTTAACCGATAACCGAGAAATCAGTTTTCGGTTAAACCGAAACCGACCGACTGACAGCCCTAATGTATGTCGTCATTTTATTTCGGTGGCTTATAGGCTATGAGTCGTTATCTATTTGTAGTACCATATTTTGTATGAATGATATTTTATTGCTCACACATTTGAAGTCACTTTGTGGTTAGTTTTTAACAAGTGGACACTTTGAGATTAGCTTTATTGATTTTTTTTTTTGTGTGGTTTATATGGTCTTTGGTTGGTAATCTATTTTATGCCGGACAATGGCCCTACCCAACATAAAACTACCATCGAAAGGGAGCGACTAAATCAAAATATTCCTACATCCATACTGTACTTTAATTCATTTGATTTGATTGTTTGAACATGAATTTTAGCAAGCTCACATGGCGTACTTATACCGAGCTTGATTCCCCGAAAGAAATTGATGAAGTGTACCTAAATTTTATCGCTATAAAGGATGAAACATTTTAATGCATCATTATAGTCAAACATATAAATTACCACAGAAAAGCTTCTTTATATTTCACTGTTTATTATGTAGTCGAAGTTTATGAGTGTGCAATGCAGGTTTGCATGCCACCCTTTGATTTGTGAATTGTGTTTGTGTGTATTTCCCTTCTTTGAAAGAAACAGATAGTAGGGGAAACCAATTAGAAAAGTTTGTTTTCGAGTTATTCTTGGTTTGTTCCGGATACGGTGCATATTTATCTACCGAAAGTTCATTTTTAAGTATGTTTTAAGTAATATATTTACTGCCATTAATTGTATATAGATATTAGGTACATGTATATATTTAACATGATTGATACATTATTTGGTATTTTCTAACTCAACCATTAAATTAATTAGAGTACTTTCCTCAATTATTTATGGCAACTTCTACAAGAAAAAAATAAATTTAAAAGGTCAAAATTAGAAGGAAAAAAAAAGAACTACTCACATATCACATATATACTTTCAATTTGAGCATATCCATGCAAAAGTATAAAACTTCGCCGGTCAACGGACGGGCCATGTGCTAGTTTCTAAGATGATATGATTTGACTATTGCTTCGACAATTTTCGTCATGTCAAATTTGCATTAACATTTGAATCGTGAATTCAAGTTGATTTCAAATGATATAATTTTTTCAAGTAGATATTTGTTGCCATAAAAGCAACTTTTCTGGGAGAAGGAAAACAAGTGTTCAACTTTCCTTTTTACGTCCTCATGTCGCCACACTAGGGGGACATGAAGACATAAAAAGGGGGGACATGTTACTGTAACAACACATATTTTGTTGTTAGACTGTCCACAGCAAGAAGGGAAAAAGAGGATAAAAGGGGAAAAAAGGAGAAGATGACTCACAATAGGGGTGGGTATTATGGAAAAAAAGGATAAAAGGGAAAGAAGGGGAGGGTTTCTCCTGCGCTAGAGGTTAAAAGAAGAAGGGGAAATGGGTCCAGGTGGGTGGGAGGAGGAAGGGAAGGGGGACCATGTGGGTGGGGTTTTTTTTTTGTTTTTTGTTTTTAAAAATTGTTTTATGGTTTTCTTATTGGACTTTTATGAGTTATTGGATTTCAGTGATAAAATTTTTTATATCCAAATTAAAAAAATTATATCGAAATGTTCGTCTTAATTAATCAATACTACCTATATAAAAATAATGAATAAATTATCAAAATAAAGTTACCATATCAACTCTAGATTGATTTTGAAAAAAAAATCCCTCCCCAATACCCTTTTTTCCCTACCACCTATTGTGGCCATTAGAGCATCTCCAATGGTGCCATCTACATGCAATTTCAAGTGTGGTCCCTACTACCACATCATCAACTTTAACAATTATCTCACTCTTCATTTTCATACAACCTACATCAATGCCATCCACTTGCAATTGCAATTGTGGGCCCTACTTACTTTTTAATACAAAAAAATATTCATATTATCTCCACCATTTTACTAAAATATTATAATATCCTATCAACTTAAATTAGCAACTTCCTATAACTAATATCAATTAAAGTCAATAAATATACTTATAAATTTAATGTTACTAATTATATAAAACATTTTATGTATTAATTAGTTGTCTTAACGTGTTTAGTGTGTTTTCTTTTCAATTTGTACTTTGCGGATGTAATATTTTAAAGTATATATGAATCCTTAAGGTTTGTTTGTAGTATTGTTTTATTTATACAAAAATATCATCGTTACCATCAACTAAATACATATACATATGTGTATGTGATAGGAAGGATAGAAAGAAATATATATACAACATATAATTGGTGGTGGAAGCAAGAAAGAAAAAAAACAAATGAACAAGAAAGAAGGGAAAAGAAAGAAAATACAAATTGGTGGGGCCATGTTGCAATTGCATACCAATTTGCATGGTGTGCAAATTTGCACCATTTGCAAATGATGACACATCAATGCAAACCACTTTTTTATTTTCATCCCTCTGTCACGTAGGCTTGCAATTCACCTCATTTGCACCATTGGGGATGGTCTTATAATTCCCCCATCCTTTTTTCCCACTTTTTCCATCCTTTTTACCCTTTTTACCTTCCACCATTGTGGATAGTCTTAGGGTGACAACACTAGCCTCCAACCAATAGGAAGCTAGGGTTGTGATCACTTTTTATTAGCTAAGTTGACCTAGTGTAAAATCAAAGCAGGGGTATAATTGTCATTATGAAAAATATTTTTAAATAATAATAAAAAATAATAAAAATAATATTTTTTTATTTTCTGCCCAAAATTTGGTCGCCAGAATTCGGCCACCGCTCGCTGGAAACTGGTAGTCGGAATATGTTTTTTGTCGCCGGAATATGCTTACCGGCGTTGGAATCTAGTTATCGGGGTCGGAATATGCCTATCGGCGCCGGAATCTGCTCACTGAGGGTCATTGGAGTTTGGTCAACGGTCAACGAACACCGGAGGTTATGGTCTGCATTGTGAGATCTATGGTTTGGTTTCTCATATTTTTGTATGCCTTCTGTGGTTTGCTTTATCGTGTTTCTAGTTTGCATTGAGAAGTTTCCGGTTTGCTTTAAAAAAATTTGTGCTTTGCTTTGAGGGGTTTCTGGTTTGTTTTCATATTTTTGTGTTCTGCATTAGGACGTTTCCGATTTGTTTTTTTGTGGTTTGATTTACTATGTTTGTGGTTTGCATTAGGACGTTTCTGGTGTGCTTTCGCAAATGTTGTAGTTTGCTTTGTGAGGTTTGTGGTTTGTTTTAGGAGATTTGTGGTATGCATTAGGAGGTTTCTGGTTTGCTTTATTGTGTTTCTGGTTTCATTAAGAAGTTTATGGTGTGCTTTCGAAAATTTTATGGTTTGATTTGTGGGGTTTCTGGTTTGTTTTAATGAATTTGTGGTTTTCTTTGTGGGGTTTCTAGTATGTTTGAGTGGATTTGTGGTATGCATTAGAGTGTTTCTTCTATGCTTTATTGTGTTTCTGGTTTGCATTTAAAAGTTTTTGGTGTGCATTAAGAGGTTTCTAGTATGTTTTTTTTTGGATCACGGGTGAAATGCAAAAACCAAGAGACCGGTCACTAACAGTCACATTTTCTGAAATTTGGATCCCTAATGAGTGACGGCTGAAATGCAAAAACCAAGAGAAAGACTTAAGCATCCATTTAGCAATCACATCAGAAAATCCAAATGCCAGAAATAACAAAATAAGAAGCTTACAAACAATGAGCACTAAAAGAGCAACGATTAAGACTAGCTAATACCAACCATTCTCATCATCATAAGCAACCTGATCGTAATTAAGCTAGTTAATAGCACAAGGACCAACCAAACCTAATTATTAGCTAGCTACTATAACTAATCATGAAGTTCTTTGAGATATAGAGAAAGAGAGAGGTGAAAAAACAGAACAAAGGATCAAGAGACAAAGGGAAGATTTAGAGGCCCAATTATCTCCTGCCTGGAAGATTCAGAGCCCTCAACTGGTCAATTTGTTTGGAGATCGACAGGCTTGGATTCCACCTCGAGACCAAGCGGAAGCGACGGAGAAGAGGTGGAGGGATCTCATAATGAGATCGATTGGAAGCGGAGAGTAGGAGACTGCTACGTACGTACAACTAACTAAGTCTACCATCCCAAGTTGTCTTTGAAAAGCTTCCAACTTGCACTGGACTGAGCCAATCTCTCCTTGGCTCTCATCCTATTTTCCACCGCTTGCCTGCTCTCATCGCATTGCTTCTTCGGCTCTTCCAATTCCTTGTCAGCCTCTTGATTGGCCTTGTCCAGTTCGTCCACGGTTGAGCTCCTCTGATCAACAATTATAGCCTTGCGAGCATATAACTGCTGAATCTCAGCCTCCAGCTTAAGGTCTTCTTCTCCCAGTCTCGTAACCTCTACCTCGAGAGAGCTCAGCTGTCTCTTCCTGTGAACCAACCTCGACTCCATGTCCTTTTTCACCTAATCGACGGATGATTCCACCCCGCAGCTAGTTTCAATAGTGGAGAGTGAGCTGGGGATGATCTCCTTGAACTCAGCAAGGCGCGAGACCAAGTCTTTTGTGGCGTCGATGAAGAAAAACCAACAACAAAAAAGTGAAGCAGATAAGGACAGACGAGATCTGACAGAGAGCTTCGACGGAGGATGAAGTGAGCAGCGAGGAACTCGGATTTGTGGCGCGACGTCGTTGTCGTCGCCGCGGTTGTTGTGTAGAAGAGAGAGCGGAGCAGAGTTGTTAGAGGAAGCAGAAAGTGGGGAAGAAAGTTTAATTCGTTGCTTTTTGTATTTTCATTCAATTTTTATTTTGTGATATTT